ACGGGGAAAAAACGCCTAATAAAGCAGATTGCGCCAGATATCGTACAGAACGTACACACACACACGAGTCAGCATATGATTATCGTGTTTATATTGTTTCACGTTTTTATTGAGAAAAACAATGTCCACATGCAGGGGCGCCGCCAGCAATTTATGCTCGAGTGAGAAAAGGCGCTTCGCTGACAGACGCTTCAGAGACACAAAGATAACGGTGTTCTAAGTTTCTAACAGCACTTTGCGTTTTCTGTTCTTAAACCTGTCTCCCTCAACGAAACCTAAAGGAAGTATATGTCTCAAAATCATTTTGCTATAAGATAAGTTATCATTTCGGATCACACGGGGTCAGGGGCGTAATTTGCGGGTGGGACGTGTGGGACATGTCCCCACCACTTTTTGCCAGGGTCGATATTGTCCCCACCACTTTTTAAAACCTCTCGCTGCACGGATAGCTACCAGTAGAAATAAATAAAACATCTCCAACTGGCAGACCATTCATTTCGTTCGTTTGTTAAATAAAAGAAGCGATATAGCCCTGAAATATGTTGTTTTTTAAATCAAGTGATCAAAGTGCTCCTTGCCGCCTACGATCGGTGGCGCGGTTACAGTGTATCTCGTGCCTCACGCACAGTCTTCACATGCACCCGCGCTTCAATCCGTTTCGGAGACTCTTTCAAAATCAAAGACAGCAATAAGAAAAAGTGGCAACAGCCCTGGTAAGATAATTTCGTTTCTTTACTTGAAGATGATTGTGTGTTAAGCGTCTGTGACTTACTTTCACTTTTATTTGCGATGTTTGCACGTTGGCTTGATGAATAGACGCTCAGCTGCTCATCTGCGGTAATGCGTGTTGCAGTAGCGTCGTCATATCTGACATGAAATATAGCCTATATAACAGCACTCTCACACGTTTATTTTTTTAGCATTTTTGGGAGGAGTAAAATATACATATGTGGTTTCAACAACCAGATTGCGTTTACACCAAGTAAAGATCCGAACACAATGCGAGCCAGACTACCTCCAGATGTGGTCAGGCAGATCCGATCACAACGTATTTACACCTTGCATTAACATGCGTTTTTTATTATCAGGATAACTTATCTGAATACAGATCGCATTTTAATACCAGGTGTAAATGGGGTCTTTGTTCGTTCCGGTGCAGAGAATGTGAGCGGAGTGGAGCGGGGAGCGCGAGCGGGCGGATCTTGGACAGAGCGCAGAGCGGCATTTTTAAAAGGACGGAGCGTCGCCCTATTTCCCGCTCCAATTTCGCTCCTCCGCTCACACCACGAGTCTGACTCCACGTCTTTTCCCCGCCTGGCTAAAGAAGCTCGTGTTGTGTTCAGCATCCCAAGCGGGTCTGCGAGCGCAGAGAGGGTTTTCTCCGCAACCACCGCATGAGTCTGAAGCCTCAGACATTGTCCAAACGTGTGTTCTTGAAGGTGAACTCAAAAGAACTGTAGATGAGGAAACTGTAGCCAATTCATTTTCTTTCTTTTTAAAAAAAAAGTTTAACAACATAAGCCATTTAAATTGTAGGCCTAATCCACGTGCACTCTGCGCAAAAGTTCAGTTATACGAATTTTGGCCTAATAGTTCATTTAGCATACTTTTAAAACGTTGATGTAGCCTACAGTATAGGCCTATAGCCTTTATATTTTTATTTATATAATTAGGCGCATTGATTCGTTTAATTTTACAGCAATTTTTTGTACAAATAATATAAGCATATTTTAATTTTAATCGTGCGCGCTGTGCAAAAGTTTAGTTATCAAAATGTTGGCCTAATAGTTAATTTACTTTTAAAATGTTTATGTAGGCCTGTATTTTTTTTACATTTTTGTTTATATCATTTTTATTTATATTATTCGGCCCATTTATTCGTTTAATTTTACAGCAGTTTGTGTGTACAATGGATAGGCTATAAGCCAATTTAAATTTTAATCGTACGCGTTGCGGAAAAATTCAGTTATCAAAATTCTGGCCTAATAGTTCATTTACTTTTAAAACTTTTATGTATATTTTTGTTTATATAATTTTTATTCATATTATTAGGTCAATTTATTCGTTTAATTTTACAGGACTTTTTGCTATTCCTTCTAACATAGGCTAGGCCTAATTTCTAATTTGAAATAAAACATTTCTATTTGGAAAATGTTGTTCAAACGTTTCCCTGCCTGATATAATACAACCACTGATGAATATATTCGGTTTTGATGACAAAAAAAAACAACAAAAAACTATATGAGTGCGGATTAGAACCCTGGACATCTGACATGCTCGGCAAAAGTTCTACCACTGGACCATTAAAGGACACATGTTTTAAAGTCGGATCTATATTTTTTTTCACGTGTCACGTGATTCATTAATTTATACACACATGTCCCACCCACTTTTTAAAACAAAGTTACGCCACTGCGCGGGGTCCAGCTGCGCTTACCTGCAGTCGTGAATGCAGTGATGGACAGCTGTCTTTCCTCATTCGACTGTTTGGATTTCATGTGATTTCTCATTGTGTTGATGATATTATAACTCAGATTAATTAATTAATTCGATTAAAAGTAATTCCATTTAGTAAGATCATTTTCAAGTAATTCCAAACTTCGCGAGGCAGACGACAACATTATGTGATCAAATACACACAACTTGTTAACACACTCCACAGCGCCACCCAGTGCATTTAATTATAACTGCGAGTTAGTGCTTGGGATTTATCATGGATTCACTGCATTTACGGGCAGCAAAGCAATGTAGTAAAATTCGAATAGTATTTTATTTTTCGAATAATAATTACAGATCGAATATTCGAAAATTCGAATATTCGTGCACATCCCTAGTTCGGATGGCAGCGTTCACACGTATTTAAATGCACCGCACTAACGGAGCAATCGCACCAGGGTTCGTTTTAATAAAACTGAACATGCCAAGTGTGAACACACTCTTAGTTTACTTTCACACATGTTTTGGGTTAGATACTTTGACTTTTTATTGAGTACAATTCTGACAGAGTACCCATACTTTAACTTGAGGTTCAAGGACAACAATAACCCATTATAACCACAACCCTTTTCAAGCTAACTTTGCAAAGAGAATCTCTAAGCCAAAATAATGATTTAAAAAAAAAAAAAAAAGCCAAACTACTTATAAAAATACTTTTGTCCATACTCTTAAAAAAAAAAAGGTAGTCAGCCCAGGTGATTGACGCTCTAAGAAGGAATGTAACTGTTTTCTTCAGTAGCCTATAGTTTTGCTATCTTTCAACTATAGCCTATCTGGCAAAAACCCAGTTCAGCAAGGACCAACTGATTGCCTTGAAGCCTTTTTACGCCACTTTGTTTCCTGTCTTGTTTTCATGGTGCGTGTGTGTGTGCACAACTGACACTCTAGTTCAGCCAGTTTGGCAGAGGTAAAATACTTTCCATGCTCTACCTGTGCAACAACACCAATGAATGAGCATGACTGGCAGGGCTTCAGTACACACACATGTTGAAGCCCATCACCTGCACACAAACTACAGCTGACGCCATTCAGCATATCTGTGCGGAAATCACCTGACAAGCTAACCTGTCAGAAAAGACTACTTGGAAAGTGGAATCACAAAGAAAAATGTGAATTCTAAAAAGAGAAAGGATATATAAATATGCCTGTATTTGGTTGACATATTAAGATTCAACTGAACTACGTTGATCAAGAGATTTTAGATGCATACACTACAGTTCAAAAGTTGTAATGTTTTTAAAAGAAGTCTCAAAGGCTGCTTTTATTTGATCAAAAATACAGTAAAAACAGTCATATTGTGAAATGTAATTGAAATTTAAAATAACTTTTCTATTTGAAAATATTTTAAAATATTTAAATTTATTAATTTATTTCTGTAGTGGCAAAGCTGAATTTTCAGCATCATTACTCCAGTCTTCAGTGTCACATCTAATATTCTGATTTGGTGCTCAAGGAATTAGCCTACTATTACACTAAAAATCAAATGGATCAATTAAATTGATCATTAACATTAAAAACATGTTGTGCTGCTTAATATTTGTATGGAAAACATGACACTTTTCTCAAGATTCTTTGATGAATACAAAGTTTTAAACAACAGCATTTAGAAATCTTTTGTAATATTATAATTATATTGATTAGTAAAATATATGATAGGAATCCTTGTTGAACAAAATAATAAATTTAACTGACCTCAAACATTTAAAAAGCAGTGTAGCCTGATACCCTCCCCTTTAAAGACAAACTCGTGTACTGTATGCAAATGTTTCAAGACAAACTGAGAAGCTTGAAAGGCATGCAAAGTGCTACAATACCAAGCACAGAATCACAGGTCATAATAACTGCAGATCCACAGCTTGACTGAATGGAGAAAACTTGATTAACAACTACCAGAAATACACCACAACTAATGTTCATCCTGGCAACAATAACGATGATTAAAAATAAACATTATTGAAAAAAAAAAAAAACAGAGCAAGCATGACTTTTACATTGTACACTGTACAATAAAGCATACAAAAGGCAGACATGTAAAGTCCACCACAGTTCAAGCTTATTGGAAATGTCCATCCATATATTGGTGACATTAAGCCACAAAGACACTTAAAAATACCACAATACCAAAACAGAATACCATAGTAACGACTAAAAATCGGTTATGGGATCAAACAGCTTTCATAATATTTGTAATTTTGTTTAATATTGTGTTGACATTGTTAGCTAATACGACAATATCTAAGTTCCCTATGAAAAGGTTAAAGTTTTATTGCATTAACAATACATTTAGTAAACATAGTATTTTGGCGTAAACAATGGTTACAATGGTATTTTTGTAACGTTAATGGTCAGAAATGTAAATAGCTCGCGTGTGAGTTTCTTTGTTAGCTGATTTGACTAGCCTGCTTTATTATTCCCATTAGTCTCAAGATCAACAGAAGCAGCGTGACATAAAGCAGGTAAAACACACACAAAGTGATAAAAGCACAACGTTTCACTTTACACACCTTTTCGTCAACTTCAAATAGCCGTCTGTCTGTCCTACCTGTGTGTGAGCAGTTTGGGATCTGAGCTCAACCAAACTTCGCTGCTGTCTGTCGGGATAGACCCGAGCGAGCGTCGTCCTGTTGATCGCTGCTTAATGTTCCTCGTTATTTAGTTGCTTTATCCCGCATGAATCGCACCAGGAAACCATTCCTCACACCTGTGTATAAACGGCCGTCTTTCTATGAACACTATCACAGGCTGGCTCACACAAACTTGCTGAGGGAGCCGGAAGGCGGTACGGGATCGCATTGCACGGAAGGATGGAGGATTTGTTTTGGTACGCCAGACTGGGACAGTGTGGAGGGGGAGAGTGAGTCCGTGCGCCCCCCTGTGGGTGATGATAAAATAGACCAAGATGTCTTCGATTGACGCTTGGCTGGATCACGCAAAAAAACGGATTTTTCCTTCAAGCCTGTTGCGTGGGTGAAGTACGAACGTGACAACTCCCATATTTAGTAAGTTAGACAGACTGCAGTCATTTACTTCACAACGGCAAAACATTATAAATGTACGCTTGATGTAGTAGGCCTAATGATAACAATTAGTTGTATCATATTGACCAATACCTGCCTATAACGTCTATTTACCTTTATTATGATGGCCTACTTCTTTAATTTATAAAACTGCACTTCTTTTTCACAAAGACATAGCCTACATTGACAAACATATTTTGTCATAAAACATAAAATGTCCTTTTGAAGGCTGTGTGTACTGGTTTAATAAAAGTAGATACAAGACACTAAGTGTTTTCCACAAGCATACCATCGCCTGATAAGTATGATACAACAACTGGCCTCCTCAGGTTGGAATGCAGCCTCTCAATTCCAGCTATTGTAGGCTATAGGCCTATAACCAGTTCAACCCTCATAATCACCCGCGTAATCAGCTATTTGGTTATATAATATCTACATTCTGTGTATGTCTAAGACATATCTAAATAAACAAAATGCTTCACACACAAACTAGCCAATAACTTGTAAAAAACTAAAATGTGTTCCAGTGAATGTCTCTTTTTCCAATGTCTTATATCTATGTATTTATTTGTAATTTGTTGTTTTGTTTTATAAATGGATGCTGTGGAAGTAGACTACAGATAGTGGCCTCAATAGGTGTTTATCTAGTTGTAAATGGTTTCCTGTAGCCAGCAGAGGGGGCCATTATACTTTTAAATAAAGACTTTCCCTGCGTCCCAATATCTATCCATCCTAAATGTGAGATTAGAACGCGTGTCCCAAAGCATAGTATGTTGATAAGAGTATGTCAAAGATCCCCGGATCGTCTACTATTTCCAGTAGATTTTCAAAGTGTGGATCCATGCACATTCTAAAGGCTAATATTGCCCACAACCCATTGCGCTTTGGGGGAGGAACTACAAACACGAATAAAAAGTGTTAAAAAACTGCAAAACAAGGCGGATGTGCGCGACCGACGGTGAGAGGTTTGAATGACTAATCAAAGTTTAACCTGATGGGGAAAAAATGTATTTATTGTTATCCGTGTTATATTTAATCTGCAATAACAATGTGGACTTTCATAAAGATCCGTTTGGCCATTAACTTTTAAATGCATCATGCATTAATATGAGGAGAGTTCACAGACATGAAAGACCCGCGACTGCAGATCAACATGCTTCTGCATTTCTCTCCGATTCGGTAGGAAATTAAATGAAATGAAATGTGGAGGATTTTAAATGTGACAATATGATTGACAGGCCATTTTACTTTGGATGCGACAGAGAGCAACCGTTAAAGACACAATTGTATGGCGTGATAGCATGTGCCAAAGCAAAGCTTGTGTAGGCTACTCTTTTGCTACGCACTCAAAAGTATATTTTTCTTCACAAAAAGAGTAGCCTACATACTTTTAGGGCATAGGCCTAGTAGGCGAATTAAAACGCACCAAAGGGCTGCATCCGAAATCACATACTTCCCTTCTATAGGCGAAAAACAGTAGGCTATAGGGTGACCAGACGTCCCGAAATCCAAGCAGTTGTCCCGAATCCCGAATCCTGCCCTAATTGTCCCGAAAATTAGAACAAAGTCTCAAGAGCAGACTCTCGAGTAGTTATAGTCTGATAGAATATTAAAAACTGCTCATGGTCGTCCTGCAGCCAGCTCCTGTCGGCTGCTCATTGCAACTATAGACAGTAAAAGAACGTAGAAAGCTGCAGTAGGCTACGTAGACTATGTAGGCGGTGTAGTAGGGGGGCGTGGTTCAGCGAGGTCTGTAGCGGGAGAGCGGGGGTGGAGCCGAGCGGTAAGTAAGTAGGTCAAGTGCAAGATGACGAACACCTGTTTCTGATTGCAGTGATTGGCGTGGGGAGACCGGATAAAGGCCGGTTGCTGCGTGTGTTCGAGTGAGAGAGAGGGACTGGGATCTTGTACACACACAACGGAGAACCAACGTGATTTTGAGTAACTAGAGACTGTGCTGTAGTTGATCTATGGTGAAGGCGCTCGGGCGCACCTGTATGAGCTTAGAAAATAAAAGTGTACGAGACCCAGTCACACCGACCCCTGTCTTCTTCCATCCTTTTTATATCGAACTTTGAACTTTACTACACTGGTGCCGAAACCCGGGATGGAAGAAGGAACCGCCGCCAGACAAACTCCGTCGCCACTTGAGGATATCATCCACGCGCTCGCGGGACTCCATCAGGAACAACATCGGGCCCTGGTGGAGATAAAGGAGGAGCAGGAGCGTCGGTTCGAGATGCTCCTCAGGGCCCAACAAGAGGACCGCGAGCTGTTCCGGAGCTGCCTGGACCGGGAGGTTCGGGCCGACCCAGCAATACCAGCGACTGCCTCGGCCACCGTCATTCCGTTACAGAAGATGGGTCCTCATGATGACCCAGAGGCGTTTCTCGATCTGTTCGAGAAGGCGGCCGAGGCAGGGGGGTGGTTCCCGGCGGACTGGCCAATGCGGCTGATCCCTCTGCTGTCTGGAGAAGCACAGATCGCCGCCCAACAACTGCCAGTCCAGAACCTCCTGGTCTATCAAGACCTAAGGCGCGCTATCCTCCAGCGGGTCGGTCGGACCCCTGAGGAGAGCAGACAGCGGTTCCGGTCGTTGGAACTCGGGGAGTCCGGCCGGCCCTTCGTCTTCGCGCAGCAGCTCCGGGACGCGTGTCGCAAGTGGCTGATGGCCGAGGATCGCGACGTCGAGGGAGTCATCGATAAGGTGGTGCTGGAGCAGTTTGTGGCGAGACTGCCCAAGAAGACTGCACAGTGGGTCCAGTGCCACCGCCCGACGTCGCTGAACCAGGCCATCCAACTGGCGGAGGATCAGCTGGTGGCGTGTCCAGGGGTCGGTGAAAACCTACCAACGTCCTCTCTTTCTTCTTCTTTTTCTTCTTTTTCTCCACCTGTCCCTGCTCCCAGGTATCGGGGGTCGGCTCCGCCCAGACCAGCGCCGAGGTGGAGGGCTGGAGCCCCGACGGAGCCCAGTTCAGGACCGAGGACAGCGCCTCGGAAATTCGTCGCCGCGACCAGCGGCGGTCCAGCACCGGCCCTAACGCTCTCACCACGCCAATCTCTTGACCCGCTTCCCGCCACTGGAGCGGCGGGAAGGTCTGGGCCGGCCTGTTGGCGTTGCGGGGATCCTGGGCATTTTGTCGACCAGTGTACAGTGATGGAGGTAGGGACACTGGTCAGGGTACCCGACACACCGCAGGCTGCCCCCGGTCATGGCGGATTATACCAAATACCTGTGAGTATAAAGGGGGGTACGTATCAGGCTTTGGTGGATTCAGGCTGTAACCAAACCTCGATTCATCAAAGTCTGATGCAATCCGAGGCATTGGATAAGAGCCGCGCGGTTAAGGTGAGGTGTGTGCACGGGGAGGTGATGGAATATCCCTTAATGCCAGTCATGATTCAATTCAGGGGACAAAAGCATAAGATGGAGGTGGCTGTTAGTCAGCACCTTCGGCATCCGCTGATTTTGGGGACCAATTGGCCAGGATTTAAGATTTTATTAGGGCATTTATGTGCGGGTGCATCTGGGAAAAGGAAAAAGCGGGGGAAGGAGGGGGCTGCTCAGGTGGGAGAGGCTGTTCTGGGACCATCGGAGCCTGTCTCGGAGGAACGGAGCGCGATTGAAAGGAGAGAGCTTTCAGAACGCGATGATTTTCCTCTGGAGCAGTCCCGAGATGAAACGCTGAAAAATGCCTTTGATCAAGTCCGTACAATCGACGGGCAGCCTCTCCACCCAGACCGGCCCATCTCATATCCTTATTTCGCGATTATAAAAGATAAGTTGTATCGGGTGACCCAAGACACCCAGTCAAAGCAAGATACAACACAGTTGTTAGTTCCAAAAAGCCGCCGGGAAATGCTTTTTCAGGCGGCTCATTGTAATCCGATGGCTGGGCATTTAGGGCAGGCAGCTACACTCAATCGCTTAATGACCCGATTTTTTTGGCCGGGCATCCACGAGAACGTGCGCAAGTGGTGCGCCGCTTGTCGTGAACGTCAGCTGGTGAATCCGCCGGCCAACCCAAAAGCACCATTGTGCCCTCTTCCTTTGATAGAGGTCCCCTTTGAAAGAATTGGTATGGACCTCATCGGGCCATTAGAGCGATCTGCACGGGGGCATCGCTTTGCTTTAGTCCTAGTGGATTATGCAACGCGATACCCAGAAGCAGTGCCACTTCGTACGATCTCCGCGAAGAGCGTGGCGAGTGCACTGTTTCAATTAATCTCCCGGGTGGGAATCCCGAAAGAGATTCTCACCGATCAAGGCACGGCGTTTATGTCACGTACGATTCGCGAGCTTTATGAATTATTGGGCATTAAATCGATTCGCACCAGCCTCTATCACCCACAGACGGACGGGCTGGTGGAACGTTTTAATCGCACATTAAAGACAATGATTCGAAAGTTCGTACAAGAAGACGCCAGAAATTGGGATAAATGGCTAGAACCCCTCTTGTTCGCTGTACGCGAGGTCCCCCAAGCCTCCACGGGGTTTTCCCCCTTCGAGCTTCTTTATGGGCGTCAGCCCCGCGGGGTGCTAGACGTGCTTAGAGAAACTTGGGAGGACGGACCTTCGAATAGCAGAAATTAAATTCAATATGTCATGGACCTGAGAACAAAACTCCACACGTTGGGGCGGCTCTCTATGGAAAATTTGTTACAGGCCCAGGACAAGCAAAGTCGGCTGTACAACAGGGGGACTAGACTGCGAGAATTTGCACAGGGAGATAAAGTACTTGTATTACTTCCCACATCCAGTTCTAAATTACTCGCGAAGTGGCAAGGGCCGTTTGAGGTTACAC